AAAACATTCAGGCTGCAGTGACCTTCCTCTATACCCCATGCTCCCTGCAACAAGTCATACTGTGAGAGTTCTATCAGTTAAGTGCAGGTCATCCTGCATAATGCGATACAGTTTGCTCACTAATTTTCTGGATAATTAAAGTCTTCTTATCAATTATTTGTCTGAGAAACTATTATGCCAGGTCTGTACCCTTTGGTATAAGCAGGGATAGTTTTTTTTAAATTATTCATGGGACGTGGATGTTATGGGCCAGGCCAGTATTTATTGCTCATTAATAATTGCCCAGCTGAGACTCATCCACATTGCTGTAGGTCTGAAGTCACGTGTAGGCCAGTCGGGTAAGGATGGCAAATTTCTTTCCCTAAAGGACATTGATGAACCGGCTGGGTTTTTCCAACAATCAGTCATGGCTTCATGGTCATCATTCGACTGTAAATCCCAGATTAATGTGCAAGTTTAACAGAGCTTGTGCCCCAGGTGCCCTAACCAAAATTTCAACCTACCACAAAATAACTGGATCCATTTAAGCATCGTATATTGTGATATGAATTTGATTATGATTAATCTAATGTGTAAATATTAAAAGGCCAGCAGTCAGGGGAATCGCGTATCATCAGTCAAGGAGCTGTAAAGATGATGATCACGGGCCTGGTCAGTCATGCCTGGAGGATGTTTATCAAAGTTCATTAGAGGTGGGGCAGTGGGGGAATCGCTGTTGAAAGGAATGGGTGCATCAAGTCCAGGGGGGTGATGCAGGGCTAAGGAAATTCAGCTTTTCCGTAAGGACCCACGCCAACATTCACACATGCACTTTAGAAAGCATTCTATCTGGATGCATCATGGCTTAATATGGCAACTGCTCTGTCCAGGACTGTAAGAAACTGCAGAAAGTTGTGAACACAGCCCAGTCCATCACACAAGCCAACCTTCCAGCCATTGACTCCATTTCCACTTCTCTTTACCGTGGAAAGGCAGCCAACATCATCAAAGACCCCCTCCCCCCTGGTTATAATCTCTTTCAACCTCTTCCATTAGGCAGAAGATACAAAAGCTTAAACACACATACTAACAAGTTCAAGAACAGCTTCTTCCCCACTGTTATTAGACTTGTGAATGGACCTCTCAAATTTCAAATCTAACATTGAAGCTTACTTTTTGTGCACCTTCTTTGGAGCCGTAACTTTACGTTTCTTGCTCTGTTCAATCACCCTATGATCTTTGTATGTTATGACCTGCCTGTATTGCACGCAAAACAAAAATTTTCAATGTACTTACATTTGACTGTGACAAAGTAAATTATTGTCTTTGGCTTTCATCACAAACCCAATTCTCCAGGCATCAAATCTTCTCCCTAGTACTGACATATCAAATCAAAAGGGACTTGTGAAGTGGAGGAGACAATGATGCTGACAAAGGGAATCTTGAGGTGCGTGAGGGGTAGGCAGTATAGCATCAGAGGGCTTTGTAGGTTAAGGGAGGAGAGATTATTGGCAGACACCACCACTGTGGCACCACAGATGGAGTGTACAAGAGCAAGGTGGCACCAATAAGGTTTTATATCTACGTTCAGGGACAGGGTGAATTGTTGGAAGTAAAGTTCAATGTGGTAAATCTCTGCATGGGAATGGGCTCTCGAGTTTGTGTGAGGTAAAAGGGTATATGGAGCCTTTGGAAGGATATCTGGTGACCAGGAGGAACTTGATGCTGATGGTATGTATTGCGAGTTGTGTTCCCTGCCATCATTTGCCATTCCCTACATATGAAACATAACTGGCAAAAGGCTGGGACAATACCACAGATGCGAGGAGTCAGTGTCAGTTTGATGAGCCAAAGTAAAGGATCTGTATCTGCTGGGCGTTAAGGCATTGAAGGGGTAAATATATGAAACAGGCATTTGCAAACTGCAGCTACATTTCATTGCTATAATTTCTTCACCCATTTGCAATGCATGCAGAGTGAATGTACTTAAGGTTCAAATGTTGGTCAAAGATAAATTGCACCATGTCATTGGTGCTTGCACATTTAACATTGGCATTACAATGATGCAGAACTTAGTGGCAATGATTTAAGAGGAGGCAAAATGCTGGCCAAAAGTATGTAATCATTTGTGAAATTTCTAACGATGCTTTAGGATTGGCGAATAATCGTGCAATTATGCAAATAGATTCTACTGAATGCAATGAAAAGTATAATGATTGATGTGAGTCTGGACTGGGATGATAGTTGATGTGGAGCAGACACTCCCTTTTTGTTGTAATGTATTAGTCACTCAGTTGGCACAGTATCATCTCCAAGGTGATGCACAGCCTGTGACCAGGGCCACGGTAGAGCAGACGATAAATGAGACTGCTGAAGATGCAGCTTCATGATTTGGAAATCTCACTCGGCCTCGTAACCAAAAAAAAATAAGATTCAGCTTGACAAGTCTGAATGTAACATAAATACAGGTGAAGGTTTTAACAGCAATTGAACTGAAGTGAGGCATGGATGTCATCAAATGTTCATCGTAGCTTGAAATATGACAAGTTGACAGTTATCTGGTTCAGACTGAGTCAGTACCAGGGAGAAGATTTGGTGCCTGGAGAATTAAGTTTGTGATGGAGACCAAAGACAATAATTTACTTTATCACAGTCAAATATAAGATATTGAAAAACAAGCCAAATTTTCAATCCATTCATTGGAAACTGTGACTCAGACCATTTCCTGACATCATGGTTCTGACTTCTAAGGTCAGTCCACTGAACTAGCATTTTGGTCTCCAGGTGTTGGGTGTGGACTGTGTTGGGAATGGTAGTGGTCAGATAGCACAGCTGGTAGGTTAGAAGGGATGTCTGTGTCTGCTGAGACACTGGCCTTGCTCAATTCAGGCTTGTTTGGCCTTCTAGTCTTCATCCCTTAGCCAGCTTTATGTTGCCTCCATGAGCCTCATATTCTCAAGTGTCCCCATTTTGTCCCCTCATATACCCCTTGCTCCCTCCATCCCCCATGGTTTTCAATACCCCTTCCAATACCACTATGCCTCTTGTATCTCCATGCACACTGTCCCAGTATCCACTATTTGCAGAAACATTGACCTTTATGGGCAAAAAGTATATGCATTTATGTATATAGGCAAAAAATATATACATTTCTGAAGGAGAATCTTACCCAACTTGAAACGTTAACCCTGATTTCTCTCTCTACAGATGCTGCCAGATCTGCTGAGTTTCTCTACCATTCTCTGTGCTTCTTTCTGATTTCCAGCATTTGCAGTATTTGGCCTTTATTTGCACTAATATAAGGAATATATTGTAGGATCTAAAGATAATCCAGGCCTACTTTTTTTTCCCAAAAGAAAAGTCCTTATTACAGAGCATTTGTTTCTTCTTCTGCCAAAAATCCAGTCCAGAAATGTGAATGATGCTGAGATCGAACAAAACTTCTGGCAACATTGTACATTGCATGTGCTTTGCCAGATGAAAGATTTGGCTGAGAAATGTGGAAGGAAATCATTTTTTTTACCAGCTCACCAACTGAAAAAAACAACAATATATTGATGTGCATAAATAAGCAGTGATGTTCATAAATCAAGGTATTTGTATTACAGATATAGTAGGAACTGCAGATGCTGGAGAATCCGAGACAACAAGGTGCAGGGCTGGATGAACACAGCAGGCCAAGCAGCATCATAGGAGCAGAGAGGCTGACGTTTCGGGCCTAGACCCTTCATCAGAAAAGGGGGAGGGGAAGGGGGTTTTGAAATAAATAGGGAGAGAGTGGGAGGCGGATAGAAGAGGGATAGAGGAGAGGATAGGTGGAGAGGAAACAAACAGGTCGAAGAGGCGGGGATGGGGCCAGGAAAGGTGAGTGTAGGTAGGGAGTTAGGAAGGGGATAGGTCAGTCCAGGGAGGACGGACAGGTCAAGGGGGCGGGATGAGGTTGGTCGGTAGGAGATGGAGGTGCGGCTTGAGTGGGAGGAGGGGATAGGTGGGAGGAAGAACAGGTTAGGGAGGCAGGGACGAGTTGGACTGGTTTTGGGATGCGGTGGGGGGAGGGGAGATTTTGAAACTTGTGAAATCCACATTGATACCATTGGGCTGCAGGGTTCCCAAGCGGAATATGAGTTGCTGTTCCTGCAACCTTCGGGTGGCATCGTTGTGGCACTGCAGGAGGCCCAGGATGGACATGTCGTCTGAGGAATGGGAGGGGGAGTTACATGCTGTTTATAATCTGAATTTCCTACTAGTCAAAACAAACACACCATAATTTTCATTACCTCGCATAGATCTCTATCTGCACATGGTTAACCAGAAGCAAGGCAGGGGATTACATTTTCCTCCTTGCCCAGTTCACCGAATCAGGCTAAAAGCCAAACCACATATGTTAGGCTGACCTTGGTGAAGCAGTAACTTAAGTATTTAAAGCAAACACATCAAGCATTAACTGAGAGCAAGGCTGTCTTTTTCTGACTGCTGTACCTTAACAAGAACTGCAGTATCTTCTTACTCAGCCATAAACATCAGAGCAAATAACAAGTTGTTAAAGGTATTTAAATTGCTACTAAAAGTCTGGGTTTGGCTTGATATTGGAAACCATTGTGTAAGTGAAATATAGCCATTACCTCCACATAACTGAAAAGCATAGTACTGTGGATTGTAACCGATTTAGGAAATTCTAAATTCTACTGATTTAAATTATTTTTCTGAACAGGCATTGACACTGCTAATATGGACAATTTATGACATTAAAACATTGCAATAATTGTAAAGAAAAAGAGTAGTGACACACTCCTTTCACAATCTGTAGTGATATTTTAATCTTTTAACAGAAAGTCCTTGAATTAAAAAGCATCTCTTTCTTTTGTTGTTCATTAATTTATTGTAATATAGGGTGGAACATCTGATCAATTTTCCCTTTGTTTTAATGAAGAGTTTGTTATCCTGGATTTTTTCACTGTCTGATGATGATAAGTAAATTGCATTAATTTTCATGTTAGCTATTACCTTTATTTTGTTTTCAGGTTGATCTAAAAAAATAAGCTTCCTGAAGTGACATTTCTGAGACTGTTCCACTTTATGGCCACTTTATGTAAGTTTTTTTAGTCTCTTGACCCCTACAGTTTTGCGCTCCTCCCCCTCACAATGCACTGCCTCAGCCAAGGTGGAGGATGGGCACTTTTGTTCGCATTGTAAACATGTAGTGTAACACAATCCACTGTAATCATGAGCTCATAAGTTTTTAACTGAGTAAATCTGGGCAGTTGGTGCAATATGAACCTTATGCTTTGTTATGGATTGATCTGCCATGTTATTTCACACCAAGGGCCAAATGATAACTGCCGAGGGGATACAGGTTCCGATGCAGACAGGGGTTACAGCCCCAGAAAATGCCCTTTGCTTGGCAAACCGAATGAACTGCGGATGCTGTAAATCAGGAACAAAAACAGAAGTTCCTGGAAAAGCTCAGCAGGTCTGGCAGCATCTGTGAAGAAAAAATCAAAATTAACTTTTTGGGTCCGGTGATCCTTCCTTAGAACTGATGGTAGCTGGGAAAGCATTGGTTTATGTGCAGAAAATAGGGAGGAGGGTGGGGTAGGGAGTAAACGATAGGATAGAGCCCAAAGAGAGAGAAAGATAGTTGGATAGACAAAGGAGTTGATAACAATAAGGCTAGGAGGGTGAATAGTTGTTAATGGGGACTATTAGTGACTAACAATAGTGTGTAATGGCAGGCTATGTGATAACAAGGCCTGGTGTGTGGGTTAGGGGGCTAGGACATGGGAGCGTTTAGGCCCTAAGATTATTGAACTCGAAATTGAGTCCGGAGGGCTGCAGGGTGCCCAAGCAGAAAATGAGGTGTTGTTCTTCCAGAGAGAGTAGGAACTGCAGATGCTGGAGAATTTTCTGAAGGGTCTAGGCCCGAAACGTCAGCCTTCCTGCTCCTCTGATGCTGCTTGGCCTGCTGTGTTCATCCAGCTTTACACTTTGTTATCTCTGTTGTTCTTCCAGCTTGTGTTGAGCTACGCTGGAACACTACAGCAAGCCAGAGACAGAGATGTTGGCCAGGGAACAGGGTGGTGCATTAAAGTGGCAGGCAGCAGGTAGTTCAGGGTCTTTTTTGCGAGCAAAACGTAGATGCTCTGTGAAGCAGTCACCTCGTCTATGCTTCGCTTCCCCAGTGTAGAGGAGATCACATTGTGAGCAGCGAATGCAGTAGACTAGATTCTGGGAAGTGCAGGTGAAGTGTTGCTTCACCTGAAAGGTATGTTTGGGCCCTTGGATACTGGGGAGGGAGGAGGTAAATGGGCCGGTATTGCACCTTCACCAGTTGCAGGGGAAGGTGCCGAAGGGCAGTGGGTGGGTGTTGGGGGTGAAGGAAGTGTGGACCAGGGTGTCCAGGAGGGAATGGTCCCTGCGGAAGGCAAACAAGGGAGGGGAGGGGAATATGTGTCTGGTGGTGGCATCTTGCTGGAGGTGGTGGAAATGGCGTCTGATCATCTTCTAGATGTGGATGCTGGGGGGGATTGTAGGTAAGGATAAGGGGAACCCTATCGCTGCTGCAGCAAGGAAGAGAAGGGGTGAGGGCGGAAGTGCGGAAGATGGGTCAGACCCGGTTGAGGGCCCTGTCGATAACGGTGCTGGGAGAATCCTCGGTTGAGGAAGAAGGTGGACATTTCGGAGGCTCCCTTGTCGAAGTTGGCCTCATCTGAACATATGCAACGGAGACGGAGGAACTGAGAGAATGGGATGGAGTCTTTACAGGAAGGAGCGTGTGAGGACGTATAGTCCAAGTAGCTGTGGGAGTCAGTGGGTTTAAACCCACAGGGACCGTTCCCTCTGGGACATGCTGGTCCATTTTTCCTTCACCTCCAACATTCACCCACAGCCCCACAGCACCTTTCTCTGCAACCGGCGAAGATGCAACACCTGCCCATTTAGATCCTCCCTCCCCAGTATCCAAGGGCCCAAACATACCTTCCAGGTGAAGCAACACTTCACCTGCACTTCCCAGAATCTAGTCTACTGCATTCGCCGCTCACAATGTGGTCTCCTCCACACTGGGGAAATGAAGCACAGACTGGGTGACCGCTTCACAGAACATCCACGTTCTGCTCACAAAAAAGACCCTGAGCTACCTGTTGCCTGCAGCTTTAACGCACCATCCTGTTCTCTGGCCAACATCTCGGTCTCTGGTTTGTTGAAGTGTTGCAGCGAAGCTCAACGCAAGCTGGAAGAACAATACCTTATTTTCTGCTTGGGGACCCTGCAGCCCTCCGGACTCAATATCGAGTTCGATAATTTTAGGGCCTAAACTCTTCCATGTCCTCACCCCCCACCCCACACACCAGGCCTTGTTATCACATAGCCTGCCATTACACACTACCTATTGTTAATCACTAACAGCCCCCATTAACAACTATTCACCCTCCTAGCCAAATCTTTATCAACCCTTTTATCTATCCAACTGCTCGTCTTTCTCTTTGGGCTCTAGCCTATCGTTTACTCCCTCCCCCATCCCCTATTTTCTGCATATAAACTGATGTTTTCCCAGCTACCACCATTTCTGTGGAAGGGTCACTGGACCCGAAACATTAACTCTGATTTTTTTCTTCACAGATGCTGCCACACCTGCTGAGCTTTTCCCAGCAACTTCTGTTTTTATCCTTTTGCTCAAGAACCTGATCTGATCTTGCCTGATTCTAAGTTTAATCTGGTCAAGTTTGTAGGCTCTCAGGGAACTCGGGTTGATCTGTCAGGTAATTAATTGAAATATTCAAGGAGCCAATTAATAGAAGATTTAACTGAGCTATCTGACTTCAACTGGCAAGCCCTTACATGATCATATTCTCAGCTATCTACAATGTTATCCAGATAATCCCTTCCAATGGCTTCTCTTTTTACTTCCCCAACATTATCTCCGATATCCCTTACAACTGATGGCCCAGCTCATTTTTCATACACATATCACCCCTTGCCAACATCATCTTAAAACACAATATCAGTTTTCACATGTGCATATCCATATCCATATCCAGCTCTATCTCACCACCACCACTTGTTCATTTTTGCTAAATTATCAGAACTTCTATCCAAAGTGCAGCACTGGGTAAACAGAAATTTCCTCCAATTAAACAGTGAGGAAGACTGAGCTTTTGATATCAGTTCCTAATTCAAACTCTATCCCCTACCTACCCACACCATCCCTCTCCCCGGCAGCAATTTGAATCTCAATAAGTCTGTTGTAACCTCACTATCACATTTGATCCGTGATGAGCTTCTGACTTCATTTTGGTGCCATCACTATGACAACCTCACTAACTCACTATTCCTATCTCACTAACATTGCTACAATGCATTTCTGCCTCAGTTCATCCGATGCTTACCCTTATACATACCTTAATTCCTTCTTCATTAAAGCATTCCAATGCAGTCTTGGCAGTTCTCCCACATTCATCCTTCTATAAACATGAAGTAATCCAAAACTCATGCCTGTGGTCTTAATTTGCAGCGAATTCCTTTCTCTGAGATGAGGGGACATGGTCACGTTGGGGAAATAAGAAGAGAAATCTTTGGAAGGGATTCTCAAGCTAACATTAAATAGATGAGAATGTGATCATGTGAGGGCTTACCAGTTAAGGTGTTACTGGCCTGTTACTTCAGTTGGCTTAGGCCAATGTTCTAGGGTGTGGGTTCACATCCCACCATGACAGCTGGTGGAATTTATCTTCAATTCATAAAAATCTGGAATTAAAAACTTGTCTTAATAATTAACATAAAATTATTGTTCATTGTTGTAAAAATACATCTGGTTTATGTATATGTCCCTTAGGGAAGGAAATCTGCTGCCCTTACCTGGCCTGGCCTGGCCTTTACATCATTCACGACCCATGGTAATGCGGTTGACTCTTAACTACTCTTTGTAATGGCTCAAGGTAACTCAGTTCAAGGGCAGTTGGGAATGGATAGCAGATGCTGATCCTGCCAGAAAGAATAAAGAAACAAAAATCCATCTGCTCGATGACTTACATTGGCTCTATTCATGTAACAAACAGTCAAGCACTGTCTTGGTTTTAAAAATTTTATCCTTGCTTTCAACTCCTTCCATTACCATATACCTCCCTATCTCTGTATTTCCCCCACTTTCAGAACTCTCCAAGGTAATTCTTCTCATCTATGAGCTTTCAGAATGTCCCAGCTACTGAGGACTTTGTGATTTAGAACTAACTGTTTCCCCTAGCCAAGTGAAACCTGTACAGCTATAACATTGATATCTACCTTAAATATGACAGGTATCCCATCCATGAAAAGCAGGATAAATCCAGACAAACAAATTACTACCACATCGGCCATTATCCAATTCTTGGCTGATGATTGAGAATGTCACTGACAGCGCTATCAAATAGCTTGTACTCAGCACTAATCTGCTCACTGATGCTGTTTGGGTTCAGTATGGATCACTTGGTTCCAAGTTTCATTTATAGCCTTGATCTAGAAATGGACCAAAGAGCTACATTCCATAGGAGAAATGAAAGTGACTATCCTTGATTTCAAGACAGTCATTGACGAGGTGTGGCATTAAGTTCACTAGGCAATTGGTAACAGGGGCAAACTCTCCACTGGTTGCAGTCATACCTAGCAGAAAAGAGATGGGTGTGGTTGCTGGAGATCAATCATCTCAATTTGTAGACATCACTGCAGAGTGCCACTTTTGTAGTGCCCTATGCCCAACCATCTTCAGTTACATCATCAGTGACCTTACCATCATAAGGTTGGAAAAAGCAAAATTCATTGATGATTGTACATTGTTTACTTCCATATGCAACTCCTCAGTTACTAAAGCAGTCTATGGCCACCTGCAACATGACCCAGATGATTTTCAGGCTTTGACAGACAGGTGACAAATAACATTTGTGCCACTTAAGTGCTAGGCAAGGACCATCTCCAACAAGAAAAAATTTAACTATCTCCCCTTGACATTCAGTGGCATTGCTGAAGCTGAATCTTCCTTAATCAACGTCCAGGGGTTAACATTGACAGAAAACATATTTGGCTTAGTCATGTAAATACTATGACCACAAGAGCAAGGAATTCTACAGGGAATAACTGACCTGAGGCTTCTCCAAAGCTTGGGTCTTTAAATTTCCGGCAAAGTGCAGTGAATATACAGGCAGGTAAAATTGAATGACTGTATTTATACAGTACCCAAAAGAACGGTGGTGTGATCTTTAGTTAATATACAATAACTCTTTAGACAATTATAGTGGAGAAATATTGAAAGCAACTGATGTTAGAATGTAGAAATATTTACTATTTTTGGTGCTGAAGTAGTTCTCAAATATTACTCGAAGATTAGAAGAGTACCCAAGAGTGCATTTCACATTTTCTTTTTCAAACATTTATTATTGCTGTTGAAATACCATCACCATAATTTTTTTTTGAATTATTACTCAGTAGCTACTAAAGTACATATCACTGCAGCATCTTGAAAATCTCACATTGGAATAGACCTAATGATGACTGACTTCCATCAGTCAAAATCAGTATCCTTGGAATTAGCCTTTATCTCTCGTACATAAATAAACAGAATAATTTGTACACTCAGTAAAACCCAGTATTAGCCAATTTAAGAGTCATTCAGTATAGCTGTTGGATGTCAAGGAATTCCCAACTGGACAACATTCTACTGTGTTTAATTTGGAGCTGAAGATTATATATCATTTAACAAAAATACATTATCCACTTTCTTTCCAGTTTCCATTTGGTTTAGAAACAGTTTTCCAGGCAGATAAACTTACTATGGAGTGAAGTAAGCAGACAATATAATTCAAAACTGTCCACTGACTCCATTTCAGAAATAGTATATGCAAAAAAATGTTCAATTATGTAATTAATCCACTAAATTGCAAAGTGCACAAAAGCATTCTCCTTTCATAAAATAGCAAAAGCTGAAATCCTTGGAGCCAAATCATTTTGCATTTTATCATTTTATGTTGTTTTATGCTCATGCTGGTGCATTAGTTTAAACAAGTCATGATATACAGCATGTTTAAAATATTGTGTGTAGCCATGATAAACAAGATGAGCTTGTAGGATGTCCATGAATGTGAAACAACTGTACCGTGATCCTGCAAATAAGGAGCATAATATGATATATGTCGGAAATCTGAAACAAAAACAGAAAAGGTTGGAAATGTTCAGCGGGTCAGGCAACATCTGTGGAAAAAGGAACAGGAATTAATATTTCAGATCTTATGACCTTAAGGCCATATGACCTGAAATGTTAACTTTTGTTCCTTCCACAGATGCTGCCTGACCTGCTGAGTGTTCCCAGACTTTTTTCTGTTTTTGCACCCTGATACTGGTTATCTGTTCTTCTGGGATTCTGAGATAAGCTGTGTCAATGCTCTGGTTTTCTGTTGTTACACACATACCATCTACGTTAACATTTTACACTCAAGACAATATAAGAACAGTTGCATAACCTTACTGGACTGTTGTGAGAGCATTGCTTTAACAAGATAGCACTATTATTAAGCAATGAATTACATTCAGAGTACTCCATCAAGACTGAATTGGAACCAACATCTTTTGCCATGTAAGACACAGGAAGCAAGCACTTTGATACAATGATAAATCTTAGCTTTGTATTTTTTTTGTAACTTCGTATGTTTCTGAAAATCAAAACTATATGTAACCAGTCAATTCGTAAGCACTATACAGTGTCACAAAGTACCACATGGCCTTGGAAATGTACCTGACAGTAAGTCTGAATTATTTTTCTCAATCATTAGTGACGTAAATTGTCAAAAATTCAAGAGAAATATTGAGACCGATAAATAGAGTAGGTAAATTTCAGCTGTTTGAAGATATTAACAAAGTCTTGTGTTTTTCTTCACATGGCAACTATTATTGTCAACTATTTAATTATTTTATTAGGTAATTAAGTAGACTAAATTTACTACATCATCTGCATAGCGAAAAAGAAAATAATCATCTGTCTCATGAATGTCAATTTGAAGAATTCTCGTATTAGTTCTGTAGTGGGATTGTTTAATTAACAGTGCCCCTAAACTTTGGCTCCTCTGTGCTCAATTTTCCAACACTACCACAGCGGTTTCACCCCTAAAATGGCATCTGTGGCATGTCCACACTTACAATGCAAGTTGCTCTGGAGGCCATTTCGGTGAAGACATTATTCTCCAGACAGGGCAAGTGCGCCAGCAGTGCGCAGAGTAGGCAGGTTGTGACATCAGCCCCATGTAATGCTGATTTGACACCAGTATTATCATTTGGAGTTTAGTAATCCATCTAATTCTCTCCCTTAGCCCCGCACAATTGAATATGCACTGAAGAGCAGGACAGACATTTTCTCCCCACCTTCCCCAAAACAATTCCTACTATCCTTTACTATTTACAAAGCTCATCAATTAATTTTAAATTAGATACCAATCATTTTCCTTTGAGTAGAGTAGATTGAGAGGGAACACGATTGAGCTGTATAAAATTATGAGGGTCATATACAGGGTAGACAGGAAGAAACTTTTCCCTTTGATGAAGGAATCAATGACTGGGAGCATACATTTAAGGGACAGAAGGCTTAGAGAAGATGTTAGGAAAAGCTTTTTCACCCAGAGGGTGGTGGCAATCTGGAACTCACTTCCTGTAAGGGTGGTATAGGCACAACCCCTCATGTAAGAAGTTTTTAGCCATGCACCTAGTGCTGGGAAATGGGATTGGAAAATTAGCTGGTTGTTTTTGACCAGTGTAGATATGATGGGCTGAAGAGCCTTTTGCTGTGCTGTACATTTCAACGACTCTGTGATTTCGACTGCGTCTTGCTGTGGTTATACTAGTGTTTGATGGTTTCCAGAGCTCTTTAAGTCTGCTGAAGTCTACAGAAGTGGCATAACAGAATGCTGAGCACATTGTTCTGAATTCATTGCTTCTGTTCAAGCCAGTTGCTCCAAGACAACAATGAAGTAGTATCCATTCCTTTAGATTACAGAAGGAGAAGGAAAATCAGCAGAAGCAACCCAGAAGGGATAGGCTGCACATAGTGGGAGAGGATAAGGAGGGGACAAGGTTTCCAACAAGAAGCTGAATCCTACCCTGGATGTCCAGCGAGCTTTTTTCCTACTTGAGCCCCAACAAGGAACATTAGAATAGAATGGAATAGAATAGAATGTCCTTTATTGTCACATGTACTCCATTGTAGAAGTACAGTGAAAAGCTTTTGCAATGTCTGCCTCTTATGAAGCCATCTTATGTACAAGTATCTAGGTAGAAATCTTGGATACAAAAGAAGAATAAAAAGTAACTGCTTTACTTTGCAGAGTTTAAAATATAAGTTGGAAATAAGACATTGTTAAAGGATTGACATTACAGTCAGGTAAAAACATTCAAATTGACATTACAGTGTAGGAGCTCAGTGCAGGGTCTCTGCACGTGGTCTGACCACCCATGCCAGACCCCAATCCAACAGCTGTCCCTGCTCCACTCTAAGCCTCCAGTCCACTCCATACCAGCACTCAGCTGCTTCCAGGTAAGTTCCAGGACTGGCTTACTCAGAACGGTCTCTGCCCAGCACTTGCTACCCGCGCTGCTCTGGGGCTGCTTCACTGCGCGCTGCTCCAGGACTCACTCCTCTCTCACTGCTCCAGGACTCACAGCTCTCTCGCTGCCCACGCACTGCTCTGGGGCTGCTTCCCCGCGTGCTGCTCCAGGACTCACTCCTCTCTCACTGCCCGCACGCTGCTCCAGGACTCACTCCTGTCTCACTGCTCCAGGACTCACTCCTCTCTCACTGCTCCAGGACTCACAGCTCTCTCGCTGCCCGCGCACTGCTCTGGGACTGCTTCACCGCGCACTGCTCCAGGACTCACTCCTCTTT